TGCACTCTCTTGACGCCCTCTGGCTCGTTCCCCAATCATGTGTTATAGCGATGTCGGACGATGCGAACCAGTCAATGCTCGCCCTCGCCTCACACGGCCTCCAGGCCCGGCGATCGCGGAATGCAGGAAGCTCTTGCTTATCATAGTGCACGACTAGGTTTATCCCTGCCGGAATGATAAGCATGATACGTGGTGACATTCGAATATTCAACCTGAAAGTATCTATACGGAGTCCTATGAGAGAGAGTTAGTGGATGACTTTGGAGTAAACCGCTATCGGGAGGGATCTGATCATCGATCATGGTAGATAATGTCATTTTCCACAAGGGCCCAAACTTGGAGATTGCGGGGTAGACATGTGTCGTAAAGTTGAATGTGAAGATCATTTGGGGGTCGCTCCAAACTATGTCGGGGCGATCATCCCCCCGACCGGAACCAGACTGGCGGGGGAAGAGGGCGAGGGTCTAGCAGTCGTGACCAAAAGGGAAAGAAGAAGGGAGAAGGGCAAGGAAACCCAAGGATCAAAACTCAGACTATTTTGGCGTTTACCCAGTCGTCGCTCATACTTGGCGAATGATAACGAGAACGACGCATTCGGCGAGTCCTTGCCCGCTTCGGTCGGTAATTGACCCAAAAATGTGTAGGGTGGTCCATTCCGTTTCCCCACGCTCGAGAGGCTATAGCGGGTGGGTTATTATGTCGATCCGTGCGATGGCGGGGCGCGAGATCTCCAGGACTAGAGAGAAATCTCTGCACGATTCGTGGGGGCAGAAGTAAGACGCGAGAAATATCAGAATTGTTTTGGGGGCATCTTCTTTTCGTTTATGGATATAGATATCATTTAGCCACGGAAGCTAGATTCCGGCTGACGGGCCAAACGGAAGAAATATTTTGGTGTCAGACGGACAAAGTTCTCCAAGAGATACGGAGGGCAGAATGTAAGAATGGAGATATATCCAGAGCTATTCGTCAGTTGGCTGAAACAGCTATCGCATCTCCAACAAAGATAGGTTGAACAGGTTGCAGTAACGCGTAAGAAGAAACGAGACGGTTTCAGGACCTCAGCCTACAAGAACGCCTGAATAGACACCGGCCTTAGTTCGTCCCACAAGGGGGGGATTCCTCCTCGGCGAAATGCGGGTAATTGGCCGATAGATGGGTAATATCGAACTACACGTACTGTACCTGCTTGTGCTGGGCAATAAAGCGCCCCTCTTTGCAGATCGACCGCGCCGAATCCGGCGGTTCTCCAGGATGGCGCCATTCCCCGTGGAGAAAAGCAGAGGATTTAAACCTACTTTAGGTCACACTGTGCACCAAAGTGTAGACTGTGCGGAATAATTTCTTTTGGTCATATTTGAATAAGAGAACGTATGACAGTGGCAGTGTCCGGTGGGGTCAACCTGAATAGGCGGGTTTTGGTGGACGAAGCAAAAGGACTCCGTACACACAGTACTTTTACCCCTTCGTCTCCGTAATGCAGGACTCGCGACGATAATTATGTGGAGATGTGGCCTTATCCCAATCTTTGAATATTCCCCACGACCAAACTAACCATAACACGTTCACTCAAGAACCCCCCGGAGTTCGGAGTAGATACGACCGAAGTAAGCCACCTCGATTCAACGACGGTGAGTGCCAATCCGGGGACCCCGACCGAAGGGAAAAATCTCCCCTCAATTATCCCGCCACGGAGAAACCTCCATGGATGCGGAGATCCGCCGACTCAAAGGGGGATCTGAAAGCTGCCAAATATGTCGCCACTATCTTTGGTCGCTGCTCGGCCAATAGGATGCTCGTCCGGGGTGGTTGATGTAGATTAATATCGACACAGCAGGAGCTACATCTTTAGTTCATACATAGGGGACTACTGCAGTGGCCAGAACCAGCGGTTGCTTAAGATCTGCGACTAATGGGATCCATCCCTGCTGCACGTATGCAGGTCACGCCCACTGTCCTGGATCTCGAACTGCTCCCGGAGCATGGGGGACAATTCTAGTAGTGAAAGGGGTATACTTGGGAGAAACCAGGGCAAAGACGTGCACGCACGGGTTTCTTGTTGCGTAGGTGTTAGAGCAATTAGCGAGGCCTTTTTGCCCGGTAGACGTTTAGGCAGGCACGGAAATAATAAATTATTGATTTTCTACCTCCATATACCCAAGTGTTGGCAAGTATCATGGTCAGGAACGGGGGCTGAAATTGCGGTTCTGAGCCGTCAACCGATCGCCTCATTTTCTCTATTGGTCACGACCCAACCAAATTCGCAATCCTCGGCACATGGGAGGGGGTAATGCGGATATCCTCCTACCGAAATTGGGCCGACCAACTCGGCTGTGGGGGATGGACTTGCCGAGCGGGCGTATCTTTCTTTATCCACTGGGCCTAGGGAGCGGTTACTATCATCCCATGGGGTCGCATCTTGGGGGACGGGGAGAAACTGGAGATGGTCCTTCGTCCCCACCAGGTTGGTCAGGCGCCCGGAGTTATCGCTTAATGATAGTTACTGCTTGGGAGGATGAGCCGTCTAGCTTTTCCTCCGTATGGGGTACTTGCGACTGGGCGTGGTGGTTGCGAGATAGCAAATCATCCCGACCGGTAAATCTCCGGCCCACTATCCGCAGTACTCCAGATCAGGGTGCTCCCAGGCTCCCAGGCTCGAGGAATTGCGTGGCTGCCTTCCGGGGGGCATGAAACTATGCCACCACAGGAGGATTTAATTCGATGACGGTGGGGATCACACCCTTCGAGCCACGGCTGACGGAGAGACATCGTGGGCGCTAGGGTCGCTGAGAAGGGGCTATTTTGCAACTGTCCGATTCAGCCGTGGGCAGTGCAACCTGAAAGACTCTTCAATAATGTACTCCAGAACACGGAATCCTACTGGATAGGAACGTGTCGAGTGTACTGTACTTAGTGAGAGCTAAAAGGGAAAGAGTACCATTGACAGAGAACGACATTCTCCCAAGCTGAGCTGACAGCCTGCGCGCATGCGATTCGCAGATAGATTCGCATTTGGCCGGCGCGAGATGCGGCTTTGCGGCTGCAGGGTGCGTCGCCAATCGTCAATAATTGGACGATCCGCGCCTATCAGTTGGTATCTAAGGTGAGCGTATCGCTGGATCATCATCGAGCATGTACTTTCGTAATCTTGACTGTGTCCTTGATCTGTCTGGGGTCAGATTCGTTCTGGCCATTCTGCGTAGCATGATAGGGTGATCAAATATGTGGCACAGGTATAGTTCTCCGTATACTCCGTCTCAAAGACGGGGAAGAGTGCTCACGGTCCTCCACCAAATCCGGGGTATTCCATACCACGAGCAGACTACATACTACACGGTAGCTTGCCGGTGGTTTATCGGCGAACCTGATTCGCGTAACCCTTGGATCAATAAACAATGTCCGAAACGGAGGAGTCGTCACGATCGCAGCCAAGCACAAATTGGAAGATCAGTACGATTAGAACGATGTCAAATCAACATGATCAGATCGACCGGATCCAAGACAATTCCAATGTGACCCGAGTTGTTTTCGTGCGAGCCCCGGGGAGGATTAGCTAGATGACCCTCTCGATTTTTCCCTCTTCCCCATGACTCAATCATGCCCAAATTATGTATCATGTGTCGACATCATCGATGATCCGCCCCTTCATCACTGGGCGGAAGGCGGGTAGAAGGAAGCTTGGGGGTGGTCCGATCGGCTGGGGGGAGACGAGAGCTCCTCCTTATCTCTACGGTAGATTCTGGCATGTACTCCGGACTGTAGACTGTACAACGCTTCCTCTATACCGAGAAAGGGGGATCGTTGCAAGAGGGTACATCTCTTGTTAAGGTTCTTTCTTTGTGCAGATACGTTGTCTGGACTGTTCGCGAGGTTCTGGTCCTTCCATGATCCGATCTTTCGAGGAACGGAGAATGGTTATCAGTGTACGTTCTTCGTCATCGCCACAGGTGATGCCATCATCGTTGATCATCCATTTAGCCATCCTTTCTTCCGGAGAGGCTCTACAGAAATAGGCAAATGAAGAAAAGCCTATTTATCTCCGGGTGAGTCACGAAAAGAATAGTATCTATAAGAAGAAAAAGGAGGGAGGGGGAGAATGAAACAAAGCAACGATCCACGCAATCGATAGAATCATCACGGTCATACCCCTCCGCCTACTCCAAAGATACCAATATAGGGGGGGGGAAGCCCCAGCTTTCTCCAGACGCGCGATAGCCGGAAGTGGTCGTACGGAGTACAGAATGGAGTATGGAGTACGGAGAGTACGGAGGAGGGGGAAGTAGGAAAAGGCCACGCACTGCGGGATCAGGCCACGGTTCTTCAGGAATGGGCACGCATGAGCTAATCAAGAGGACCTTCGTCGTCGTAGTCCGGAAAGTCGCCCTTGGTCCCCACATCTTGCGGTATGGAGTGCGTTGCCCAGACCTTTTTGGGTTCGTTTTTTTTTTTTTAAAAAAAAAATCTTTTTTTTATCCTTTTTTTTCTATCCCCCTTCCCCGACACGCCATCGCATCCCAGCCGGCCATCAGATTATGCCGAACTGTCCTCCCTTCCGCACTTTGTCATTGATGTATGCCTATGCTTTTAACCGTATATCTTGATAGTTGAATTAATTCGATGCTCTAACGTCTTGGAAATATCGGAGTCGATGCTACTGTCTTGGATAATTTTTCAAGTGTTGCACTATCGAAGTAGTAATCAAAATTCCTAGAAGAACAATTTTCTCTTAGCCGGAATGGTCCATAAGACGATCTTCCCGGTGCACGTTGCCTACCTTTTTGAGCCTTTTTTTTTTTTCTTCCCCCGATTCGGATGTTTCTCCCATTTTTTTTCACCGATTTTTTCCCTTTTCGCCCCCCCAGTCCCTGTTCCCCCACACCGTCCTCAACCTTGTTACGATCCGATAAGTTCTGCTTCCTTTCGACTCAGACTTTTCTTTTTTCTTTTTTTTTTTTCTCGTCCTTTTTCTCGATTCTGAATTTCCGAGTTTTTTTTTTTTTCCCTTTCTCCCCCAAAAACCAAACTCGCGCCGATTCCGAGCCCTCCCCGATTTCTCCCTTCCTCATTTTTCCCCTCCATTCCTCATACTCCCCTCCTTCCCCCTTCCTTTATCATCTCCTGCTCCCCAGATTGCCGTCTCCAGATTTTGTTCCTTCTTTTCCTGCATCCCCATACTTTGCCCTGTGCACTACTGTTCGCACTACCACTACACCACTCCCCTGTCCGTTTCAACCCAAGGTTTCCAACATCCTTTAACGATCATCCCGTCGCTGATCTGATCGACCGGATAGCTCTGGACCACCACCCCTGCAATAAATTGTCCGCCTCGGCACATCCTCCCTCGCCCGCCTCTCTACACGAGAAAGGATAACTTGGAATCATTTTCCGGTCTATATATCCGGCCTTTTCTCCTCTTGTTCCCCCCCGCAAAGGAGATATTCACATGTCTCCCCCGGCTTCAGTGGGTTTCTCCAATCTACTGAACCCTCAAGAAGCAGCGGATTCGGCCTCGCCTACCACTGCCCAACCGACCTCGTCTCCTTCTTCAGAGCCTTCCATGGCTTCTTCCGTCAGCTTGCTGCCGCCTCTCATGAAGGGTGCTCGTCCCGCCAACGAGGAGGTCCGTCAGGATCTTCCCCGGCCTTACAAATGTCCTCTTTGCGACCGGGCTTTCCACCGCCTGGAACATCAGACACGTCACATTCGGACTCACACCGGCGAAAAGCCCCATGCCTGCCAGTTCCCGGGCTGCACGAAGCGCTTCAGCCGCTCCGATGAGTTGACTCGTCACTCGCGCATTCACAACAACCCCAATTCCCGTCGAAGCAACAAGGCCCAGCACCTCGCTGCGGCGGCGGCTGCGGCTGCTGGCCAGGATGCCGCCATGGTCAATGCGGCCAACATGATGCCTCCTCCCAGCAAGCCTATCACTCGATCTGCGCCCGTTTCCCAGATTGGTTCTCCGGATGTTTCTCCGCCTCACTCTTTCTCCAACTATGCCAACCACATGCGCTCCAACCTGGGCCCATACTCGCGCACCTCGGAGCGCGCTTCTTCCGGTATGGACATCAATCTGTTGGCCACTGCAGCCTCGCAAGTTGAGCGAGATGACCACCTGGGCTTCCACGGATCGCGACACCACATGTATGGATCGCGCCATCACAGCCGTGGCCTGCCTTCGCTCTCCGCCTATGCGATCTCTCAGAACATGACTCGGTCGCACTCCAACGATGACGATGATGGGTACGGGCACCGCGTGAAGCGCTCGCGTCCCAACTCTCCCAACTCTACTGCTCCTTCGTCTCCTACCTTCTCTCACGACTCGCTCTCTCCTACCCCTGACCACACTCCTCTCGCTACTCCCGCGCACTCTCCTCGCTTGCGCCCCCTAGGAGCCAATGAGCTTCACCTGCCTTCCATCCGCCACCTGTCTCTCCAGCACACTCCTGCGCTTGCCCCCATGGAGCCCGCACCCGAGGGCCCCAACTATTACAGCCCCGGCCAGGGTCACATGGGTCCCAGCATCACAGACATCATGTCCAAACCGGACGGTACGCAGCGCAAGTTGCCCGTGCCACAGGTCCCCAAGGTTGCGGTACAGGACATGCTTAACCCGCCTACTGGATTCTCTTCGATGTCTTCGTCGACGAACAATTCCGTCGCGGGTGGAGATCTTGCTGACCGCTTCTGATCTTTCTCTTCCCCTCGTGCGACTGCCCTCGTCGCGTCCCACATTCTTATGTCTTCTTTGAATTTGCTGTTATGCGCGCTACGAAACGATATAGACTTGTGCATTTTCTGGGTTGCAGGCATCAACGGTGTCGGTTTTGGATGGATCGGTGTACCTCTTTCTCTTCCCAATTTTTTTTCCCCCCTTTCTTTACCTTTGCTTCATCAAGGCGTCTCATTACCAAATAGATTGGCTGGGAATTCTCCATGGGTGTTTCTTTCCTTTTCACCACTTTTTTTCTTCCTACCCTTCGCGTCCAAAATTCTTTTCTCATGTGATTCTCCTCTCCGAGGCCTGTGGTCTCTATTTTATACATCTATTATGATGTTCGTTATCTTACCTCAATTCTCTTAATTAGCTCTCCTAGCTTCGGCTTGGAAATACGAAAGAAAATCTCCTTGACCCAATATCTCACTGCTCAATGTAAACTTGTCCGGGAATCTTTATTTCTTGCGGAGTATAATTTGACAGGCTTAGGGCTGACATTCAGCCCCCTACGGCCGGCAACAATGCCAATATCACATGTGACTGTGACAGCTTTAGGAATATCATCGTATTATCTTGGGATTGTCTAATCTCCTACAAATAAATTCAGACTACCTCACCTCCCCAGACCATATCAGCCAGATACTATATCCTCATCCCTCAACATACACCACAGCACTGTAGTACAATACAATATTAGCGCATCCTCAAACATTAGCCCCTCCACCCCGCCTCCCCTCCATCTTAGCGCCGAAAAAAAAAGAACCCATCAACCACCAGTTCCGTCACGAAAAGCCCAATGCACCCAATCCTCGCAGTGTACCTCAACAGCTCGACCCCACTACTCTTCACCATTCCACCCAGAAACAACGTGCCTGCATGCTCGAGCATTCTACAACGCTAGAATCAGTGCTTTTCTGTGCGCCGCGGGCTCCACTTCATCGCGGTACGTGACCGCGGCCTGGGCATGGTCGGGCCCTGCCAGTAAGGTGGTGCTGGATGTCGTGCATGCTCACGGGTGTTTGTTGACTAAAGGTAGGAGTACTGTACCTACGTCTGTTTTTCTGCATCTGCAGTCTGTTGGGTAGGTCACAGGTACCCTTGACTTGGGACGAGGTCTGGACTGGACCTTTGGGTATTGTGTTTTCGGCGTGGGGCTGGTGAGGCGAGTGTTGACGGGTGTATCGTTGTAGGGCTGGATGATAGATGTAAGTATATCAAGTCTCTCTTTCTTTCTTGCTGGGGCTTCGTCTTTATATCCGCTCATTCTTTCTTCCCCTCCCCTATCATGTACAATCGGGAGGTTTACTGTACCCCGTACAAGGCCCCCTTCCCAATACCCAATACTTAATACCTTGGGTAAATACTCATGGTACCCTGTCTCCGGCCCTCCGGTGAACGAATAATCCAGCAGAGCGCCCCCCTCCCCCCAGGCGCAAAAAGAGGGCCCCGTGAATTCCCCGCGCCATCACACGGAGCATGTCGGAGCAGGGCAGCACGCAACCAGCAAGGTCAAGAAAGCTGACAGGGACCCCGCCTCAGATCATCTCCTACCTCAGCCTCAAGTCCCGTCACCCGAAAACAGCGAAAAAGAAGTACCTCACCAGTCCGAGATCGAGTTTCTGCATATCGGCGCCTTCACACGTACACCACCCCCGCGCGCCTACCCCAGATGCCTGGCAGCAACCCGATCCGCAAAAAGCAAAGTGAGGTGATCATCCGTGCCACCCGAATGACCTCTTCTTCCCCGCCGACTGTCCCAGGCCTTACGAGCGGGTCGGAATCTCCGTCGATCTCTTCGGTGGAGACAAGGTCTGACGGCGGGTCGGTCGTGATATTTGGACCTGGCTCTGGTCGGGTACTTGGTCCTGCTTTTGTTGCGAGAGGTGAGCTGGACTCTCGACTGGAGGAGAATTTAATGGCGCCCGTTATCACGGGGATGGCCGGTGGGCGTGGGCGCTCACAAGCATCGTCTTCATCATGGAGTACAGCCACGCCCTCGGTGAGCTCTGCGGTGCCGTCGTTGGCGGATTCAGATATAAATCTGAATCCGAATCTGGATTCGAGTCCCGTCGAGTCCGGGATCTATGCATGTCTTTTCCACATGTTGGACTGCCATGATACCTTCGACGACGCCACGCAGTGGAGAACTCATGTCCTAAGTCATTTCCGGGCACATCCCCCACCACGAACGGCACGATGCCCTCTCTGCCCAGACACGGAGTTCATCGACCAAGAATCAGACTCAGACCAATCTTCCATATCCAGTCCAGCATCACAAACTGATACGAGCGTATTTAACACCTCACCACCCAGCACGGAAGAAGTCTACTCACAAGACCACCCTTCCGCATGGGACCGGCTGCTCAACCACGTCGCCGCAGACCACTACCAGCACGGCCAGACGCTGGCGGGGAGTAGACCCGATTTCGAGTTGATGCGCTACCTGTACGGACGACGGATCATTTCGGATGCACAGTTCAAGGCGATGCAGCTTGCGCCGGCGCCGTCGAGCCCGGCATATCACCGCTCGCAGGATGGTGTGCGTGCTAGTATCGGGTCTGCGGATGAGCCGTATTGTGCGCCGTATAGCCGGCGGAGGGAGGACAGGATGCGTGGGCAGCAGAGGGGGTTTAGTGTGGTGTTATGAGTGGATGAGGTGAGGGTCAGGATTTGACAAGAAAAAACAAGGGGGTTTGTGATGGATTCTCTTGAGTAATTTGCGATATGACTCGGCTGTGTCTTTTGTTTCTGATTTGATTTGAATTATTCCCCCTTTTGTCTTTGTTGGTAATTTGTTTTTCGACTTTTATTCTCTTGTAAAGTTTGTTTTTGGTGCCGTGGTGTTGCACTTGAACATTGTGCTGGCTTTATATTGATATGGACGTGATAGTCGAGTGAGCGGCTCTATCGACGAAGAAGATATAGGGGATTTGTCAGTATGCTTCAAGACAAACCCTATTGAGACCTTTGATCGCCAGGTTGAGAGATTGTTCTGTCTCCCTGGGAGATCTATTACAAGTCTAGGCAAGTCACCTGATATGCACGCCCAGGTCACATGACATATATATCTCGATAGATCAGATTGTCGATTGACCATACTAGGCCGATCCAAAGATGAGAAAGAAATGCTCATGTAGTCGAGCATGTGAGTCGCTTATATGCAGAGGAGAGAAGCAAACAACACCTGCCGTGGAGCATTGTTGCAGGGGTGGAGGGGTACATCAATCTCTCCATCTGCCTCACCGCTACACTCGATGCAACAAGGTCCTTCTCATACTTGTCATTGGGTTTGTTTGGTGCTGATATTGGTGTTCAATCGGAGATTAGAGGGGTTATTTGTCTAGATGTATCTGACGATCGATTAGATTGAATCATCTAGCGCCATGTTCTAGCAACTTTGGAACTCCAATCTCCACATAATAGAAAAAAAAGGAGAACCTCGAGTATTCATAAGATAGCAATCAAAGTACGACAGCCGCAAGAGAATTCAAAGAATTCTTCATCTGTGATCTAACCACCTGACCGAATCCTGATGAGAGAATCAGGCCCATAACTGTATGTGCTTGCGGCGTCCAAGCAAACAAGACAAACTCACCGCCCTTGATGTCCATCTCCGGCTCGGAGAACTTGCACTGGCTGTCGCGGACTTGACTGCTATCTCGAATACGACGTACGCAGTTTCGAACCAGAATGAGAACGTGGTCTTCGTGAGCCAAATCTGAAACCACCACCTTCTCCCGAATCCTTGATCGCACACGCGCTCGCCTCACCGGTTTTCCCACCACCCCCACCTTCCACCAACCGCCGACATGGAGCGGCTATCTTTAAACGAAACCGCGGGCAACACGCAGCCACAGCAGCCACAATCGCAACAGCAACAGCAACAACAGAGGCAACCACAGCAGAATGCGCTTGGTCCCTCAGCCCCGACGTCCGGTCCCCCACAGCTTCCCCCTCAGATGTTCACGACCGCCGCACAACTGTTGGATTTGACAGATAGTACGTTGGTCTAGACGGCACGGTAGCTCTGAAACCACCTCACGCTAACCTGAAGCTTGCGTTGTCGTACAGAGAAACTTGTTCTGGTCCTCCGCGATGGGAGGAAATTGATTGGTGTATTGCGAAGCTGGGATCAATTCGGTATGAACGTCGCAATGGCCTCGTCAAGAAGCATTGGCTTACCACAAGCCCTCTCCGTTGGCGCAAATTTCTAGCGAACCTTGTTCTACAGGACACAATTGAGCGAATCTACGCTGGAAGTCTTTACGCGGATGTCCCGCGCGGAATCTTCCTCGTGCGCGGCGAGAACGTCCTCCTTCTGGGCGAAGTGGTATGTGGAAGGAATACGCGAGACCTGCATATGAATCGGGAATTGCATCGCTCTGGAAACCCATGCTAATCTACAATTATGTAGGACCTTGACCGCGAGGACGAAATCCCCACTTCCGTCACCAAGGCCCCATTCGAGGAGGTCTTCGAATTGAAGAAGAAGGAAGACACCAAGCGCAAGCTTGGAGATAAGAAGCGAAACACTGAACTCCAGGCACTTGGATTTGAGCCTGAGCATAGTGGCGAAATTTTGTTCTAGGGCATCTTTGTTGCATGTTTGCGGTGTGCCATGCTCCTGCCAGCCGTCCCGAAGGCCCTGACCCCAAGTGCCGCAAAATTGGGAACGATCGGTTAATTTTATACGCGATGGTCTCGATTTGGGGATGAACACAAACTAAGGCGTGATCCGACCGTTTGTGTTCAGATGTTCAGATGCGGATGATAAGAAGGTGTGTCTTTGCCTTGTCAGAGCCGGCTTTCTTATCAGCTTTGAAGAATTTTCAAGGCCTCATGAGTTTTGCGCACGCCGGCTTGCGGACGGCTGTAGAGGGAGTAAACATTTTCAAATCGGGTTAAGGTGTCAGGCCTCGAACCCGATGCGCATGATGTTCGTCGCATTGTCGATTGCGCATACATACAATACCACTGGCTACTTGAAAGATGGTGGGACGCTGGTGAACAGAGGCGTGAACAGCCGTCAACATATTCCAGATGGGATAATTTTTTTTTTCTTTTTTCGATTTCTCATGTTCAATAGTAACAATCACGATTTGACGGTCCATATCGTATAATTTCCTCGGCCAAGTTATGCTTGAGTACGGAGTAGAGAATGAACAGTTTGTAGATCAAAGGCGGTGCGGTTCATAGATGCTTATCGATAACCCGCCAAGCCCGCCGTACCTTTTTTTTTTCCTCACGAGTTTTCTCCATCACCGCCAGAACAGCCTCCCCGCACGCTTTTCTAGTCTTTCTCCTCCTCGTCGTCCACAATCACCATGGCGACTCTGGCGGAGAAGCTTGAGAAGATCAAGTCTCCCAAACTGCAGAACCAGCACCATGTATGTGGTTCCCTTTCCCTTCCCTCGTATCGATCGCACCGAGGGCACCAGGCAGACCGCTAACCAAGACGAATTATAGACTGCCGTGGTGCTATCTGCAGTAGAGGATACTCTTCGTGATCAAAAGGCCGACTTTTCTGCGACCGCATACTTTGCTGCGCTCCTTGCGCTCCTCTCCCAGTCCCTGTCCGCCGAGCAGGGCATCGTCAACAAGGATCTAGCGACCTCCGTCGTCTATCTGCTCGACATCACCACCAGCTACGTGCCTGCTCCGATCCTTCGCTCAAAATTCTCGCAAATCCTCACCAGCCTCGCCCCGGCCCTCTCTCTCCCCGAAGTCGAAGCCCCCCTTCTACGCCCATCAATTGGCTGCCTCGAGTCGCTCCTCATTGCCCAAGATGCTGCTGCATGGAATCTGCCTCACACTCAAATCGGCCCCCGGCGTGCGACGGCCGGCCTGCTGAGCCTTTCGGTCGATCACAGACCTAAGGTTCGGAAGCGTGCACAGGAAGCGCTCATCAAGGTTCTCAAGACACCTCCTCCGAGTCCTTCCCTCGACCACCCGGCCGCAGATATGTGCGCTGAGTCTGCCATGAAGACTCTTGGTGATAGCATCCAGGCCGCTTCCAAGCAAAAGAAGGGCCGACACGACGCTAACCGTGACAGCCACGAGCCCCTCATCATTCACTCCCTGCAGCTTGTCAAGACCATTGCTACCGCGTCCGGCGGCTGGCCCAGCAAGAAGATCGAGGCCCTCTGCGAACTGCTCATGAACGCCTCCCGCTCCACCAACGAATACATTACCATGGGTGCGTTCGAGGTCTTCGAAGTCATTTTCGAAGGCATGGCCGACGAATTCTCGTCTTCCAAGCTCCCCCGTCTGCTGGACGCCATCTCCGAGCTCAAGCCTGCGCAGAACGACTCGCAGCTTCTTCCTCCTTGGATCGCCGTTCTGTCTCGTGGCTACGATGTTTCTGCTCAGATCAACCCCGAAGATACCTTTGAGAAGCTGCCCGACCTGTTCCAGCTCATTTCTGGCTTCTTGGCTTCCCCTTCGCACAACATTCGCGTCTCGGCTTCTGAGTGCTTGATCTCATTCCTGCACAACTGTATCCCTAACAGCGTTATTCTGGATGCTTCCGTCTATGATGAGAAGACTTTGGAAAAGCTTGCCCGATTGGCTGCTGATCTGCTCTCTGTCAAGTACCAGGTTGCTTGGCAAGAGGTGTTCAACGTTTGCTCCGCCATGTTTGACTGCTTCAAGTGGCGCTCAAGCCCCTTCCTCGTTGATATCGTCACCACTATCGGCGAGCTGCGCAGCAACGAGGCCTTCCATGGCAAGAAGGAGGCCGATAGCGTTCTCGGCAGCGCCATCGAGGCTATGGGTCCCGAGGCCGTTCTCGAGCTTCTGCCGCTGAACATCATCCAACAGAAGAATGGTCAACCCGGTCGTGTTTGGATGCTGCCTATCCTCCGTGATAACGTCACAAACACCAACCTCGCCCACTTCCGCTCCGAAATGGTGCCTCTAAGTGAGGCCCTTTACCAAAAGATGACCGACTACAAGTCCGCCGAGAAGCCTGTGGAGACGAAAATCTTCGAGACCCTGGTTCAGCAGACCTGGGGCATTCTGCCCGGCTACTGTGAGCTGCCACTGGACCTTACCGAGGCTTTCGACCAGACTTTCGCGGAGCTTTTGTCCAACGTCCTTTACAAGCAGACTGAGTTGCGCGTTGAGATTTGCCGGGCCCTCCAGAATCTTGTGGAGTCAAACCAGGCCATTCTGTCCGTGGAGAAAGATGAGGATGACTTGATCTTGCAGCGACGTATCACCAAAGTGGCTGCAACGAAGAACATTGCTCATCTGGCTGGCTTTGCCAGCAACTTGCTGGCCGTGCTGTTCAACGTCTACAGTCAGACTCTTCCTCACCACCGTGGTTATATCCTGCAGTGCATTAATGCCTACCTGAGCATCACTCCCGAGAATGTTAGTCAGATCTTGCCCCCAGTAAACATACCGTCCAGTCACTGAACTGTACTAACTACTTCAAATTGCAGGAGCTCAACGAGACCTTCACTCGTGTTACCACGATGCTTGAATCCTCTCTGATTGAGGAGCAGAATGCGCCCGCGAAGCAAGCATCTGACAAGATGCCACCCACTTCTCACACCCTGATCGATCTTGTTATCGCCATGTCTATCTACCTGCCTCGCTCCAGCTTCAGCGGATTGTTCGCCATGGCCGCGACAATTCTCAACAGCTCCTCCCCCAACCCCGACCAGCAGCTCATCAAGAAGGCTTACAAGCTGATCCCTCGCCTTGCCTCCACCGAGACCGGCCGTGCTGCTTTGGAGGAGCGCAGCGGTGAGCTGCAGGCTCTCATGCTTGCCACTTCTGACAAGACCCCTGCGTCTGGTCGCCGAGACCGCATGCTTGCCATCGATGAGCTGGTCACTAACTTGCCCACATCTGACCTGCATTTCATTCCTTCAATCCTGTCAGAGGTTGTCCTCGGCTGCAAGGAGAGCAATGAGAAGGCCCGCACTGCTGCGTTTGACCTGCTGATTCATCTTGCTCGCCGCACCATCGACTCTGATCGCAACCCTCCTGGTACTGTGATCCGCAACTCCCTGGTGCCTCATATGCCCGACGACTCGCCCGACGCCCCAGCCACTATCGAAGAGTTCTTCACTATGGTCTCTGCTGGTCTTGCTGGTTCATCGCCTCACATGGTCGCTGCGTCCGTCACTGCCTTGTCACGTCTCTTTTTCGAGTTCTACAAGGACCTGCGTTCTGAGATCCTCTCGGATCTTGTTCAAACTGTTGAGCTCTTCCTCACTAGCAACAACCGGGAAATTGTCCGGTCTGTCCTCGGATTCGTCAAGGTCGCCGTTGTCATTCTTCCCGAAGACGCTCTGCGTCCTCGCTTGTCTGCCCTTGTCCCCAACCTCATGGCTTGGAACAAGGAGCACAAGGGTCGCCTGCGCAGCAAGGTGAAGGGTATCATTGACCGTCTGGTTCGCCGCTTCGGTGCTCCTCTGATGGAGAACCTCGTTGGCGAGGAGGACCGCAAGCTTGTCGTGAACATTCGCAAGCAACGTGAGCGTAACAAGCGCAAGAAGAAGGAGGGTGCTGCCGAGGATGATGAAGAGGAGGACGACGACAAGGCTCACGGCCAACAGCAGTCTGGCAACGCCTTCGATAAGGCTGTGTACGGCTCTGACTCTGACGACTCCGACGATGACGATGATGACGCCAGCGTCATTGACGTTGACACCGAGGGACAGGCTCGCATCAAGGGCCGTGGTGCCGGTGGCAAGAAGAAGTCTGCTCAGGGCAACCAGTACATCCGCGAGATGTCTCCCGAAGATAACCCGCTGGATCTGCTCGCTCCCGATGCCTTGGCCAACATCTCCACTACCAAGCCCAGTCTGCGCTTCCTGAACACCGGCCCTGGTTCCAAGAAGAAGCATGCTGCCAGATTTGACGCCGATGGCCGTCTTCTCCTTGGCAATGACCAGACTGCCGACGCTGAAATGAGCGGCACTGCCGAGGGTGGTAGCGGCATCAATGCTTACCTTGCTGCTGTCAGCGGGCCCGATGCTGTTCGCCGAGGCCAGAAGGGTAAGGTCAAGATGGGTCAGGCTAAGAAGCGCGGCGGTGATGAAATGGATGTGGATGAGGATGAGGATGCTGCTGCAATTGGCCAAGATCTCCGATCCAAGGCCCAGGCTCAGGGTCGTCGCGGTCTTGGTGCTCCCAAGACGCCCGGTGCTTCCAGTGCTGGTCGTATCGACAAGCGCCGTACCCCTGGCGGTATGACTGGTCGGGGTGGTCCTCGTCCTGGTCGTGGCGGTGGCCCCGGCCGTGGTGGATTCTCTAGCCGTGGTGCTGGCCGTGGTGCCGGTCGTGGTGCTGGTCGGGGTGCTGGCCGTGGTGGTGGTGCTGGCCGTGGTCGTGGTGGAGGTGGCCGATGGTGAAGAATGTCTTTTCCTTCAATCAATATGAAGAATTGATACAGTCAATGTCTCTGAGTCTTCCGACATTCTTCAACTCTTCTACCATTGGACCATCTCAGGTTTCTTCACATTCATGTTTAGTTGTTGACGATATTCCTCATAATACCCCCTCGTTGGCGAAATCGTTTGGGGGTTGACTCGGATTTACATTCAGGTCTAGCCGACTGGACCTGTTTCTCTTGTCATGATTCGATTACGAGCAAAAGTTTGTTAGGGCAACTGCACATAGAAATGTTTTTCTTTCTGTTCTGAATTCGCTTCCCTCGGTTTCTTGTTAGTCTTCTTTGTCTTTTGGGTAGGAGTTATTATGCAACATATTTGCAATCAAACCATGTCAATCGGAAATTCACATTTCAATATTGATTCTCCATGGTTTCTTAAATAGCATCTCCTCTGCAAGAATTTGCAACTAGCGACCTCAAACTTTCCTAAAGAGGTTAGTTTTGCCTATTAAGGTCTAGCTCGCTATGCCGTCCCTTCCATAACCAACCTCCTTTCCTCCTTTCCGGAGCTTTATCTACATACTCAATCTTACTGACCTTCGTCTTGGGCAGTTTTAGTATGCCTACCCAGATAGTATCGGACGAATTAGCCCCTGTTCTGGTTGTCGGGAACTACGGCTCGGCACTGGTGACTTGATCCAACAACTGTACCCCTTGAAGCCGTGGGTCACTCGCAATGTCGCCGCAGCAAAAGAGCCCCAATTCTGCCTCGAAGCCAATCAACGCCACTGCGTTCCGTCGGCTCTCAACCCTCTTAGCTATCAAACTCCTGAAGCGCTTTCGAATGTATGAAGGGAGCGTCCTGATGTTGACTGATAAAATATGCGTCAAATACGGACCCCTCCTGCAATTATCGGAAGCCTCAACCATGCGTTCTATATCGGAACATACCTATATCCCGGTCCCTAAGGTTTTCTGCGCATTTGAACATTCTGGCCAGACTTATATTGTGATGCAAAGAATCAAAGGTGATAGGATAGGCAAAGGCTGGGTGAACCGGAGTGAGGAGTCTAGGGCCAGATTTCTGTCACAGCTCAAGGCAATGATTCTCGAGATGCGCGAGCTTCAGCCACCAGCAAATATGGGAGTTGCATCCGTTGATGGTGGAACACTCTATGACTGCCGCATTTCAGGTCCTCCTCACTTTGGGCCATTCAATACTCTTCGGGAGTTTCACCGGCGTCTACGTATGGGGGTGGAATGTGATTCAAGGCTCGACCCTGACATCTAGGACTTGATCAAACAACAAGATAAAACATGGCCTTTGAAATTTACCCATGGCGATCTAAGCAGACCCAATATTCTTGTTCGCGACGATAGCATTGTTGGCATTGTTGATTGGGAAACAGCCGGTTGGTTTCCATCCTAGTGGGAATATACAACTGCCTGCCAAGTGAACCCCCAGAATTCTTACTGGGCTAATGAAATTGATAGTTTCCTTGATCCAATGCCTAAAGAGCTGGAGATGGAAAGGATCCGACAAAACCGCTATTAAGAGATAAACGTTTCTCGACTTTGATCGCCGGGTACAGGATAGCAGCGTCACTTTGTGAAACCACGATGAGACGGGCCATTATGGATTCGTAGGAGTATTCATGTACATGAGAGGAATCTAGATAGATGGTAGAAAGGTATCTATCTTACCACCTAGGTATCGTCTTTCCTTGATTGACACAAGACACAGGAATGAGCTTGAACATCTACTCATAGCCCATGAGCATAATCTTGCAGGACTGATTCTTCCGACTTCATACCCGACCATCTCCAGCACGCCGCCCAGAGCCTTTCCTGCATTGCGACATCTTTGCTAACCGCCGCCGGAGCACCCTCTTTTTGGCCGACAAAATAGCCCCTTTTACCATGAAAGCTGGGATCAACGCTAACCGCGGCAAGTTCCCGACCAGCATCTTCCGTCGTTCGAAATGCCGTGGTAACATACTTAAGAACCGGCATCAGAAAGTTTATGGTTGCCATGATCCGTTTTGTGGATTTTTTCTGCTCTGTTTGCGCCCTTGAAGCCGGAAGTCCACCAGGATCCATGGCTGTGACGGTCACATTCGAAAGCCTGGGATCCTGAATAGAGTAAGCAAATGGATTCCTGTGTTGGTGGGAAAAAATACTTACTCTCTTCAGTCTTTCATTGAGATCAAGAGCAAAGGTCACATTTGCGAGCTTTGCGGTCCCATATCTTTGGAAACCTCTATCGTGGACGAGCGACGGTGGATCAGGCGTTGGCTTGACCAGCTCTTCCAGATTCTCCGGGAAACATGGACCAAGTGAGGATACCGGGTTTGATTTCTCGGGATAATGGGTAATTGAGCCTAGCATCACGATACGCCCAGATGTAGGGTCCATGCAGTCAAGCAGCATCAAGACCAATAGATAGTGTGATAAGTGACAGACTTGGAAGGTTGCCTCGTAGCCGTCAGATGTAAACTTCTGCCCTGCTTCCAGTGACAATGTAGCAGCATTGCAGACTATCGCTGTGATGCGCGGGATTTTCTTCGAAACAACCAGGCCTGCTAGTTTCTGCGCGAAGGTGCGCACACTGGCAAGCTGACCGAGGTCGAGAACTTCCACGCTGGCCCTAGAATTTGGGTACTTGGAGATAATTCTCACAAGCTCTGCAGTGTTTGGATCTTTCTCTGGTGAGGCATTTCGGACGGTAGCAATGAGTGTATGCTGAGGATACCGCGACAGAAGAGCCTCAACGAAGCCGAGTGCTAGAGAGCCATTGGCTCCTGTTATGACGACGGTTCCAGCCATAGTAAGAGAGCTCGTAGAGGATTTCGTGAATCTGCTTAGATTGCTCAGAGTGCGTCATGCTTCATCGCTTTTATATGTACTAGCTAGCCCTGGTTGCACATCCGATACCCTTCCTAACTCCGTCCATCGCTGTTTCCTTGGGAGGCATTGGTACCAGAGCCTATACGTGAGTTCCGCAAAAGATCTCGAAAGAGGGAGGAGCAAGTCTTGGCTCGTGGTATGGAAACGATCCATTCTTAAGCATAAATATGTAAAGACAGTATGTCCAAATCTAGCGCGGCTATTGTGTTCAAAAATAACTACTTGTAAAGATGATCACTTAACATTACTAATAATCCTCGACTGTACGCAGCTCCCGCTGACTGTAGCTGGCCTTATGAGTGGTGGATATTCGGGTTTTGTACGAACCCTAAGTGCGGCCGGATATAAGGGTCTAATTCCCGTCTCATTTGATAGTGCAGTGCCCACTTGGCAAGAGTTTAGTGATTACTTCTCGACAGATACTTAGCTTGAAGGCAATGGTAAAACTTTGGGGTCGATTTTCAAATTCCATTCTCGATCTCCATGCGAACAGTAGGAGGGGCTGAGTCTGATACGCTACCCGTTGTTATTCAGATCTGAGGCTTAACCATCTCGGGAAGGCGCAAGTCTTGGCGTCTTAAAAGTGGCCCTGATTTGCAACCTTAGTGCTCACGCGTCGGAGTTAAGCAAATGTCTAAGGCTATATTCACTTCGTTGGTAATGGTTAGCTCCGCAAGCTTTGTCAGAAGATTTCAGAATTCTTCGCATCAGTCGAAGCCATGACCTTCTCCTCCTTTGTGAATTACAGCATTCCCGATATAAATTCCGTGAAATATGATATCCGGCACCATGGGCCCGTCAAGAGTTCAGTTGATCATGATTTCATCCAATATTCCCAAGGAAGCTACCATATCAGGTACACAACAGCGAAAACTTGCTCATTCACACGCTGCTCGCTCGGCACACGCCAAGGCAAGACGTCTACGAACAATACAATACCAAGCCCAGAAAAGGTCCGCAAAGCAGAGTGATCCAGCCGAGAATTGTGATGAAGAGGGATCCCCGATAGAGTTTCCCACATCCCAGATTATCCGCAATTTGCCGGCTGATCGGAAAGATCCATTCATGAGCTTTGCAACACCACTAAAGCCTGTCGAAGAAATGCTATTTGACCACTGTATGTATACAATAGTCCGTGTCTAACCACCGATTACTGATATTTCCGTAGATGTGACCGTTATTGTCCCTCTTATGCGTTGTGAGGAGCCGACCCTTGAGTTTACTGAACGCATGACGAGGACCTGGGTACCTCTCGCACGCACCGATGCAAGTCTTCTAGATATAATATTCCTTCTATCATCTCGCCACCTATCTGCGATCAATACACAATCACAGCAGAGGTCAGCCTATACTCAAAGGGCATTTCACTATAAAAGCACATGTTTGAGAATACTACGCGACGCAATCTCGAATGAGGCACCCTATTTTAGTGACTCTACAATTGCAAAAGCGATAATGTTGGCTTATGATGAGGTAGAGTCTATCCCAGAGTTGAACAAAGTGTTTTGTTTCTAACAGGGTCAGTTATTTGTGCACGACACAAAGATGTTGAAACATCATATGGAAGGAGCTCTCAGGATGGTTGCGTTGAAAGGGGGACCTGAGGCTCTTGGTCTGGATGGCTTGCTCAAGCATTTATTGTTCAAACTAGTTTCTAAAGGAGCAGGAGCTGAGGCTTCTTGAGATTTATATAGATGAGTAGAGGAGCCCTGGAGAATATTCAACACTGAGATAGCAGTATGGTGACTAAAGTGTATACTAGCTCGTACGTTGGACACTTTATTTCGATGCTTCTATGTTAAATTCAAATTTTCACTCACTCAAAGATACCTGGATCTCATCTTTTCTTGGTCTCTCAACCACGTTCCACAAGAAAAACTACCTGTAATCCATTTAAAGTGACTCAACAATCTCTCGATCCCACTTCCTCCCCTGATACCCCATCCACCTAATAGGTCCAAGCCCCGAATTCCCCCTCTGTCTCTCAACCAGCCAAACGCCCTCCAGAGTTTCAAACGCCTCATCAAATCTATCCGCAAGATACGAACTAGGCAACACAGGACCAATTAAATTTCCTAGACGATCTCGCACCGCTTGAACCACCCGATCGACATCCTGCAGCTTCGTCTCAATCATATCATACGTAACCTGGATCTGACCGATAGGTAGTGCCTCGGCGAGAGTTCTCAAGTGTGTCATTCCTGCTGAGATTTTTTCGACGTGGGCTAGTAGTTTTGTGCTGGTGAGCGCATCGCTCCAGTCTGCTCGGAGAGTGGCACTGGAGAGAGTTTTGAGTCCAGCGAGGATGAAGGCTTGGTGGACCCAGAAGAATTCGATGGGGCCAGCGTAGAAGCCTGGAGAGTTGGACTGGGACATATGTGGAATGCTTACCTAGATTAATGTAACTTGATGGGTCAGATTGAGTCAATGATTAGGGGAATATGGGTGTCAGGTAGTATGGATGTGATGTTTGGTCGAGGAGGCTTAACGGTGGAGATTACTTGTAAAGGAAATTTTCCTCAATTTATACTTTAGAACGAGGCTGTGTTCCATCTCTGTGCTAGAACCTTTTGAAAAGCCTTTGTTTTGAAAATGAAGGCTTTCAATGCCCCTGAAAGAGATCGCTTTATCTACAATACTAGTGCCTCTCCTTATTCCTAATTTATTATAAGAAGGCCTTTGTTTCTGTCATCATTGTTAGCGATGGAGAGTGGTAAGGTCGGCCTTAACTCAAGGTCGTATAACTACCTAAGTGACAGTGATTAAGAGTAGTCCCAAAACCATATCATCCCTAATAACCCCAGGAATAGCTCGATTAAACGGGACGTATTCTTTACAAGAACGCTCTTGCTTTCAAAGACGCGATTGCTACTATTGATTGGCATTCATCATGTACATAACAGCATGAGCTCTCTATGAAGAGAAAAAACAAGCACAAACATCCTCAACGCGCAATAATCAGGCCCAAAATAGCGGACGGTGTAGAACATATTCTCAAAAAGCCAAGACACACTAAATTTGCACTTAAAGGGGTTGCCATGCTCACACCACAAAAGGTAAAGGATTATAAACGCCAAGAAGCATGGCCCTCCCACGACTTTGTCCACACCCTTGGTAGACCAAAGTTTATCCACATATGCCATGCTCATTTCCATGCATTCAGGCCAGCCCAGGGGTCGCTAGCGCTTGGGGGCTGTTGCGGCTGAGACTGAGAAGGGGCCTTTTGGTGTGCATACGGCCTGGTCTGCGCATATCCACCGGGTCCAGAGGGGTATGCTCCACCAGCTGAGGGTGGGTAGTTGGTTTGTTGCGGGCGTGGGGGAGGTGGAGGAGGGATGTATCCCTGAGGAGTCATATAGTTCGGGGTCATACCAGCAGCGGTGGGTGCCGGACTAGCACTTGGATAGCCGCTGTACGGAGTAGGCGTCTGAGAGAAAAATTGCTGGTTTGGGGGTGGTGAAACAGGTGTTTGGTATGGGTACGCCATGGGGTTGTACCCCTCGGATAGCGGAGCAGCAGCACCCTGTTGGAAAGGCTGCCCAGGTACATATCCAGGGTTGCCAGTATTGTACTGTCCGTAGGGTGCTGGAGAGTGTGAAAGTGGGACACCCTGTTGCGGTGCACCTGGCATGCTAGGTGGGTAACGAGGTGACATCTGGGGTGATGGCCCTGTCATCAAATAAGATGGGGTTTGCACAGGAGGTGGCGGTGATTTGACTTTGGATGGGGGAGCCACAGCAGAACCGGTGGATGGAGAGATTGATGTTGCTTTTGGTTCCGTAGAGAGACGCTCCATCAACAGGCGGAGCTTTTCCCGCTCACGATCCTCCTGCTCTGAAATACCGCTAGCCTTGTCACGCTCGATCTGGCTTAGAAGCTGTGCACCCTCGGACCGGCGATTGCTGATAAATGTCTCAACATTTTTCCGTAGACTTTCCACGTTCTCGGTCATGTCTCCGTAGAATGTGCGAGCTTGGAGAATACCAGACGAGAGGCCATTGAATGCTTCATAAATCTTCTTATAGCGAGCCATAACAGAATTTCTCTGTTTTGAGATGGACTCGTATTTGGACTGTTCAGACTGAACTCGCTTATCTTGAAGCAAGGCTGCGTATATTTTGGTGAGCTCCTTCATCAAGGAGGACTGTCTGTGATTCGCTTGCAATATGCGGGTTTGATGCGGCCGGAACTTTTCAAGTTCAGTCTCGAATAGTTGGCTCTCTTGGCCCGCGATAGACTTCTTGTTCAATATCAAGACATTTGAAATGTCATCGTTGCGGACCTAAGAATCGGTAAGCAGCAGTTGATAAAAGGAAGTTTGGTGATCTTACTTTCTCCTTCAGGTCTTTCAAAGTCGTCGCCCGATCTTGCTTGACGAGGCTCAACTTATTCAAAATCCCCTCCACCTTTGCGATCTGTTCTGCGACAGATGCACTGCCCTCGTCATAGACATCATCCAAAAGGCTACCTTCAGCCGGACTACTAACACCGTTCTTGCCCTTGTTATGCTTAGATCCTGCTTTGATCATTGCTTTCTGGAAGAGCACATCCGCCTCGTCCGTTTCGCCTGCCGACCGCATTTGATCAAAATCGGCTTCATACTGTCGGAACGTGGCCGACAATTGAGTATCACTAGCACTGGCCTCGCTGATTGTATCTCGGTATGTGCGAACGTCTCCACGGAGCGTTGTGTTCAAGCGGCTGCTCGGCTGCTGGCTCCAGTCCGCCCCATACTTTGAGCGCATTTTTTCGCACACGCTCTCCTCCAGATCCAACTGTTTGGAGCAGTGATCCAATTGCGTCTGTACATCTGCCTTACGCTCCTGCAGCTCGTCGAGAGCCTTGTGGAACGGCTTGTGGCCCGCGAGTTCTGAACACCAACGGCGGAACTCCTCATCCACAGTCATTTCTTGGTCCATGCCGCCCTTCAGAATGTTGAGACTGCCTGGAAGCTTCAAATAATCCAGGCTGGCAGCCATTTCGCCATCAGCGGTGTCAACTTTCTCGGTCTCGGCGCGAATCAATTTGGCTTTCTCCTCATCGTACAGACTAGCAGTTTCCGTCACTGAGATGGGAACAAGTTTCTGGAAAATATCGGGTCCGATGATACGTTGGATATCCTGTCCCTGGTACAGCTCGCTCACGGGGATTGCCTTGGCTGCGGCCAGTTTGGAAATTGCAGATAGGCCAGCTTCATTAGGAACAGGCTGGTGGTAGATAAAGTCATTGTCCTTAGTGATCGTAGCCAGCATGTCTTGTACATTTGCAAAATTGTGCTTCACAAGGTCTACCAAGTTGGCTCCGGCCTCCACCGGCAGGTTCGAGGTCGCAGAAGCCGAGGAAGGGAAGGACTTGGCCCAGGTGAGTGCAGTTGTAGCTTGCTTCTCTGCCATCTGCAATCGACCAACAGCCACACCGTGCGAACCACCTTCACTGTCCGCAATCGCCTGATAGTAGGATGCGGTGGAGCCTAAATGTGCAGCCTTGGCCTGCACCATGATCGACCATACTTTGTCGAAGACACTCTTGGTCACAACTTCTTGCATTGTCTCCGCGGCTTGGGAATAAAGGTAGGCAGCCTGAGCAGCCAATTTTGCGAGGAGTCCAGGCTTCTTCTTGTCCTGTATCTGCTTCTCCAAAAACACCTCCTGGGCTTGTGCCAGAGTAATATGAATCAATGTTTTGACAGTGTCTCGATTCAAATCGGTCGAGGGCGCATGCAAGAAGTTCTCGTTGATGTATGTGAACATCCCCGCGGAGGCCTGGAAGGAGTGGTACGCGGTCTTGACACCAAGATCTTCTGCGCGGTTCTGATTTGCGGCATGGCAGGAGAGGACGGCCGAAATATTGAAGATTATGGAAGCTTTCTCGTAGGCTAAGGAGTATTGGGAAGTCGGTTTGTGAGTGAATGCATCATACCTAGAGTAAAAGAGGGGTCAATAGTCGATCTAAAAACCTTACGCAACGCGAGTCGGGGGCGTACCATGTAAAGGAGATCTTGATGTGGTTCTCATCGACGGGGAAGCGGAGGTCCAACAGCTCCAGCTGGCCGTAGTATCGATAGAGCAGGTCACGTCCAGTAGCACTATCCTTGCCAGCGCCTCTCATATCTTGTCGAAGCCGGTTGAGTGTTGCACATTCTTGGCCATAACGCTCGGGGTCCTCGCCATAAGTCTGCCGGATGTAATCCTTGAGGGGCTGGATCCAATCGATCTCGTTGGTCTGCTTCAACGGGCAGGAAAGCATGGGTGACTGAACCATGGTCGGGTGGTTGTGAGGAGCAAGACGCTCCCATCCACTAGCGATAATGTAAAGAGCGAAGAGCTGGCGGGGGTGGAAAATGCGAAGTCGACGGGGTGCTCCTGAGGGGAACGGGATCGAGGCTGTGGGGTAAACGGAGGGCGGGAGGTCGGGGCCTAACGGTGATCACTGGTTGGGTCAATGACGTCGGTCCGAAGTGTTTCACCAGCAAATGGTGAAGAAAGGCGGGATAGAATTGAATGGTGACCGAGAAG